CCAAAAGTTGTTCACGCATTGTAAAACAGTGTGGTATAATAGAACTAGGGCTGAACAATAAAAAAAAAAAAAAATCTTATTGCAATTTCCCCCCTGCAATATTGTGATAGCAATTTAAGGTTGTTACTTCTTGAAGATCTCATTCCTATATGTTTTTCAACAAGCACGACCACTAAGTGAATCTGTATTACAGATTTATGATACATAAATGTTTTGCTCTTTTAGGATAGGCTTACTTATGTTAAAGTAAAGGCAAATAAGCCATGAATTCATCTGAAAGACAAATTACTTATACTGTACTTTCATTACCATTGTTAACTTACTAAACACTTTGCCTTGCACTCTTCGATCAAAACAGCGCGGCGTAGACATAAGTTAGTAAGTCATAAATCAGATTGTAACAACAATGCAAGCACATCTGTGGCTTTATGACTTCAACTTTTCATGTTTCATAAAACAAGATGTAACTCCTTCAGCCCTGAATTTATTTGAATCGATTTGAATTTGATTAACTGTTCATCCCTAGCTAGAACACCCACCGTTATCACGATAAAACAAAATTTGCAATTTGCTCATTTCCAGGATCTTGATAAAGGTTGTCGATCCAGGATATTATTCAGCATTTCACGTCATTATAGTATCAATGGAATGCCATCTATTAGAAATCTATTCATCATCTTCCATGAACTGTGAACGAATGAATGTTTGTTAGCAGAGGTCTACTCTCTAAGAAGAGGCATTGTAACGTCATTGTGCCAATTAAGCCCAGTACTGTGCACGGATCACTTTCATTGTTTGAGAATATAAAAACTCATAGGCCATACAGACCACTAAACATCACAATTCAAACATGACATTCAATGGTGATAATTGGATTAATAAGCACACAGGCAAAGGCATGGGTGCAGCAATGGTACCATGCAATGATAGTATTAAAACAAACAGGCACAATGGTGATGTTAAAAAACAAATGTATGGATAAAGATAGACTGAAAGAGAGAGAGAGAGAAAAACTTAGGCCAGCCATGATGGTATAGCAGTAACACTGAACATGTGACAACTCAGCAGTTGCAACTGCGGCATTGGAACGTTTTTGTGGAATTCCTTTAGGATTGGGGTAAAACCTCCTTTTCCTTCTCTCTCTTTTTCAGACTGGAATATGATGGGGGAGGGGCGGGGGTGGAAGGGGAGGGGGGGGTTCTCAGCTTGGTGGCAGGGCTCTCTCACCTGGTCTCACTCCTGCCAGCACGGGCAGCGGGTGGTGTGTGAACGCCATGCGAGGGGACCTCTGGGAAGACAGGGCGTTGAAATCAAACTTCCCCGGCTTCTTAAGTGAACCAGGCGAGGACAGTCCTGGTTAAAAAAAAAAAAAAAAAAAAAAATGGAAGCAACAAAAAAAAAAAGTGGGGAGGAGAGTGGGGGGGGGAAAGAGAGGTGGTTGTAATCAACAATTTGTTCTTTTTTTTAGACTATGGCACATTGCTTGTATTATTATAAAAGGGGACTTGATTTGGGGTGATGCATGTTTGTAATTCACTCTCATTGATTTCAAATAGCCAATCAGAAGACCCAATGCTGCCTGATTACCTCATTCACAAATATATGGAAAACAAAACAAAACAAAACAAAAAGATCAGAGTTCTTGGTGATTCTTGCCGCTGCAATAATTCATTTTGATCGAGGATTCCCAGCTCCCAACTTTGAAGTAATGGGCCGGGCAGTATTTTACAAGCATGTCTTCAAAAAGGGGGGAAAAAAATGGGGGGAAAAATAACTGAAGCCAATGTCAAACTAGCCTTTGTTTGAGAGCCAAGGCACATCTGTAGCAATAATAACCTCTAACTGTGCCACTGTATGTTTTCTCTGTCTCCTTTCTTCTTCTTTGGCTTTTCTCTGCCTTTTTAAGTTGCCAGCGCCAAACGTGGCCACCGTTACAGCCACAGTCAGCTAGTTGCGGTTTTTGGCCGCTGCCAGGCCCACAGGCTGGCTGCACGAGAAGAGGGCTTCATTCAGAAATAGCACAAACTGTACAGTATGGACGCGGCAGCTGCTGAGTGCGAAAGACAAGCAGACGGACAGAGGAGACGGCGGGAGGCGGGGCGGGGGCGACAAGCACGTGGGAGACATGAAAATATGCGAGGGAGCGAAGCGAGTGAGAGAGCAAAGCAGAACCGGTGAGAAATGCAGCAGTGTTTTGTTTTTCCATGCGTTGCTCTGACGACATGTATGAAATCGGGATGTCATAAGATGTTTACGTATGCTTATTATCTGGCGCGCACACATGTTAAAAGCATAAAAACAGAGCGGGGAGGAAAAAAAAAAGACGTTTCTTGTATTGTGGGGTTTCTTCTAATCTTCCTGACGACTGAGTGATATGATAATGTTTGGTCTTGAAAACTTTTTTTTCAGGCTCCGGTTTTGTAGTCTATTTTTGAGGGTGCTCCGCATCAAACAGGGCATTTAATATGATTCCTCTTCCAGCTGGAGACGTGTGAAAGTGGATGGTAAGCGTGGGGGCGTGCAAAAACCTTCCCTCCTGGTGTGAAAGAGTTAAGTCTCAAGCAGGTGGGAGTGAATATGTGTGAAGCATTTATGTCTTCGACAGACATATATTTCTTTTTCTTCCACCTCCCTCCCTTCCCCACCCCAACTGTAGCAGAAGCATGTGGGAGTATTGCGCTGTCAGATAAATTCCAAGCATGAAGACAACCTCGGATCCAGCTTCTGACACCAACAGTCAGTAGTGATTTCTATGACACTCGAGTGCAAACTGGAAAAAAAAAAAAAAGCCTGGGAATGACTGAGATTTGCAAGCAGTACATTCAGCTCGAATGTCAATGAAGCTGATGACCAGAAACAATGAGTAGACCACGAAGACAACCTCGGATCCTGCTTCTGACACCAACAGTTGGTACAATAAACCTCCGCTGTCAGCGCAGGCTCAGAGCCCTGCCGTGAATTAAAAAAAAAAAAAAAGTGTGGAACTAATGCTGCAACGCCACCCTCAATGATGTACTTAAATTGAATAAACTATATTTTCAAACTCATTTTACACCGTTGTACTTACAAATAATGGATTACAGATTTTTTTGATTTAAAAAATAGTCACCGGAAACGGGCACATCATTAACATCAAGCTGTAACTTCCACAAACAACTCACGCTAAACTAAGCTCCTCCCTGCTCTCTAAATTAAGACGTCACCATACAGAGGTTCCTTGAGATACAAGAAAATTGCATGCATTTTTCCCCATTTATTTGCTTCAATAGACATTGTACCACTCTTCCTGGTGTTAGTTATATTAGTCATTTTTGGAGAGTGCAAATAATATGCGCCTGTGTGTATTGTAATATTGCCGTTTTAATTGTGTTGCCTCACCGTTTTTGTTCAAATGTTCATTGCTTGAAGAGTTATGACACCGTGACGCTGATTCCATTTGTTTGGCCTTTATGGTATTTTGCATTGTTTCTCAGCATTAAGTTTAACGGACCTAAGGCAAAGGTACAAAGTACAAAGTGTCCTTCTTTTTGTTTTCAGTTTGTTTTGACAGTCAACTTGAACTTGGAGTGGCAATAAACAGCGGGAAGCGTCTCTTTGGAAGAATTCCTCACGAGCTGCCAAAGCGCTGCTTGTCACCAGACAGTACAGTTTTTCAGTGAATCGCTAGGAGCGACCCAACGGGAAAGAAAAGGAAATAGGTGAATTTATGAATAGTGAACCGCAAGTCTGTGTGGGATTACTGTAGTGATTTAATGTAGTGACTGAGATTTGCGAGAACATTAACAGTACGTACAGTACGAATGTCAATGAAGCAAACGACCAGAAACGACAACTTGACTGGTGATTGTTTTGACATTGTGGTCATGAGGAAAAAAAAGGGACCTCGAGTTTCGAAGGAATGTCTATCAGAATGCATGCGTTTAGCATCGAACGAAGCTGACGACCAGCAATCATCGTAAGGAAGATGGGGAATCCGCTGACAACAGACATCTGGGCCCTGAAAACACCAACGCTACCATCAGGAGGATGTAAAAGAAAATGTCTCAGCACTTCAGAGACGACGCCGTCTGCCAATGTGGTTCACATGTGCGCTTGTGCCACAACTGCACTCTTTCTCTCCTGGCAAGCTTTGGCGTTCCACTGGCAACCAATCAAGCGCTCCCCTGATGACCCTTCTGTCTCTCTGCACTAACAGGCCTACCACCAGATGCGGCTCTGAACCACACAGATATACTCACGTACGCATAATTTTAAGGGAGAAAAAAAAATTTGACAATTGGTTTGGACAAGTCAAGGAAAACCTGGGAATTCTAACTTTCAGGACTCCAGCTGCGCATCGATGGGCCTGACATATCGCCGAAGCAGCGGGGGAAGCCCACCCGGTGTTTGATTTATTTAACGATCATTTGGAGCTAATATGAAATCATGGTTGTTTTGCCTGCCTTCCCCCCCCCCCCCACCTCCCTCCCTCCTTGAGCCCATGTGGAGCAGATGTCTCCAGCATCCTCACGGATCCCAAGGCTATCCACACAGTCATTCACCATCTGGGACCATGCTTCAGCTGTACCAGTGCGTGTCTGTGCGTGGAAATCTATGGTGTGTATCTGAATGCGACAGGATGTGTGTGCTGTATTGGTTATTCAGAGAGGAAGGAAAGCGCTGCAAGTGGATACACACCGAGGCACACCTGTCTGTGAGCGGTGGTTTTGTTTTTCCTTCTCCTATGTGCGCACATGGCGTGCGTGTGTGTGTGTGTGTGTGTGCGTGCGTGCGTGCGTGTGTGTGTGTGTGTGTATGTGTTTACATACCCCCACCTGGACAAGAATTCCCAGATGAGAAAGCATTTGGCAGGTGGGATCCTTTGGAAAATCGGATACACCCTGTCCCGGAGTCGCATATTGTCTAAAATGATTCTTCCTTTGTGTACCACACCCATCAAACTTTCCTTGTTATTGGTCTTTTATCAGTGGTGATCGATAAACTAAAAATTGGAATATTTGGTCAATAAAAGTGTTTGAATTCATTCCCAATGGTCTATTCTCATTTCATAGCCTTTTTCTTGGCTGTACTGCTTCCAGTACATGCATGTGGACGTGATATATATTTTTTGTCCAATCAGATTTTATCCTCTATTTTCGCCATGTTAATCTTATCTGCCCATTGTCTTGATGAAGAATTAATAGTGTTGGTTGATATAACTTAAACTATATTACCAATGGCTGTGTTTCTTAAACCAATTTGATTTCAGATTCGTCCCCGCGCGGCCACTTTGGTGGCTCTCAACGAAGTCAGGATTTTTCTGTTGCATGATTGGTTGGTCAGGGCAAAATTTATAACAGCCAATTTTCAGGAGCAAAACATATATGGAGCTCTCAGCATAATTCAAAGTCGTGTTCAATGTTTTTTTGCAATCTATCTATCTATCTATCTATCACAGCCCGCTGCCGTTTTATTTTTTGTTTTTATTTTATTGAAAGTAAGATGTGATACTCTAAAAAATACTGCTAATCACTAAATTGAAAAGTTTGCAATTAATCTCTGTGGATTTATTAAATGTACAGATTTCCTCATTTATTGACTCAAGTGCAGTGAGTAACTGCTGTCCCTCTGGAGCAAGGAGCTTATTTGTGTGCGGGCTGGCAAGCAGTCCAGGGTGTACCCTGCCTCCTGCCCGATGTTGGCTGGGATAGGCTTCTGCTTATCCGTGACCAATACTAATGAGGTCAAGGGTAATAGAAACTTGATATATCAATGGTTGAATTCCCTTTGTGTGAAAATGTTAATATTTAGTTTGTGGAATGCAACAGCATTTTCTCTTTAAACTCCAGGAATACCTTTGTGCCATAATTATAGCTCCCTCCTTTGGGGGAGGCATCTATTTGAGGAAAAACAGTAAGTGGTTTCCACATCACTATTCTGCAAACTCATTGGGAGGGTACACAAGGCAACGTGCGGCACGATGGAGACCAGGAGGGGATACACAGACAAGGGAGAGACAGACCATAGTGAGCGAGAAGGAGGAAATTGATGGGAGGTGATGCTTTGGAGCGCAAAGACAAGCAGCAACGGCTGTGGCGGCCCTGATGAGCAGTCTCTTAATTACACCTACAGCTAAGTGGAGCAGGAGCATCCGAGCAGCCGCTGAGGGTCCAGTGATAAACCTACCCATCGCTTTTGGCTACGTCCCTCCCCAGAGTCCTCCCCGCTGTACACATTTTCAATTAGACAGAAGGGAGACTGCGATGGCGGGTGAAAGGGAGTGCAAGGAAGTAGGAGGAAGGGTTTTACACCTCTGATCCGCAGACGGTAAGCGTCTTAATGAGGGATTTCAAGCCAGGGGAGGGATGGCGAGACGGAGAGGTGAAGGCAAGGCGGGCACCTGAACACCTGCAGGGGCGGGGAGCATGGTAAGCATGGGCGTTTCGATGTGTGAACGTCTGCCTACGGAGGGGGTGTTAAGTGGGCGAGCGGCGGAGGGGCATCTGTGCAGGCACACATTATGCACGTGTGTGTGCGCGAAGACACGGAACCTGTGGAGGTCTCTTTATACATGACTGAGTCGCTCGGCATGTTCAAGCCTCTGCGTGTGTGTCTGCGTTTGTGTGTCTACTGGTGGGTTTTTTTTTTTGTTTTTTTTTTAATGCATGATGACATCTGTTGGTTAAAATGACACTGGGAGGGCACGCAGGACTTTAGAGAGAAAGCCAGGGAATTGAAGTGAGCTGTGGATGTGTGACAAAGAATGTTAAACTTGAGGCGGATAATCCTGGAAAATCCCGCCACTTAACCACAGAGAAAATGGGAGAAAAAAAAACATAGCAGCAGGGTATAATTCTAATATCCATAAATTAAAATAATACTCTTTTCCTTTTCATTGACCGTACATACAAACAAACATACAATATATACACAGAGCAATGAGTGTGCTAATATATCAAAGATGTAAGTGTAATCAATGTTGTTCTAACCATGGTAAGGAAACTGCACGCCTTCGTTTTCATGTTTTATCTTCCTCTCCTGCACACTGGCCAAATGGTGCTGCACTGAAAGTGGAGAAGGGTATTGTTAACAATGAGAGAGAGAGAGAGAGAGAGAGAGAGAGAGAGAGCAGATGAGGGGGGGAAAGTGGAGAGGGTTAAGAGTGAGCATTACGTTTCATGGCTTGTGATCATGAACATGTACTTATGTCATTATAAGTCATCAAGAGGGGTAGTGGCTTTACTGGATTGTTGGGTGGGAGGGGTGGATCTAATGTGGAGGATGATGTACAAAGAAGATCACAGTGCTTGCAAAACAAGGGAAACATGAATATACAACCTTCAATCAGGTTTTTACTTTTGAGAAAATGTTAATACGAGCTTCAAGGAGCCTCTATTACCATTTTGAATGATGTGTGTCAATCAGCAAAACAAACACGATTGCAATTCTTGGCTCCATTTTTGACTCTCTAATCGCACTCAATGTTGCACCATGAGTGCACAATATACAGCAATATTGATTTTTTTCGTCTTCTCTCGGGATGGGCGGGTACAATACCAGGTAACAGTATTGGGCCCATACCAGCATTATTTCACGGTATCGGGTACTAATGAAGGCTGCAGACACCAACCGCCAAACAAATCTGACATGGAGTAAGTCCTCCTTGCCGGTGGTTGGTGCTACACTACGGAAGTTTGACATGCTGGCGAAATCATCATGTTCATCAGAAAGAAATAACAGTTTGTGCTCATTATTTGTCATTATATTAATTTACATTTTACGTAGCAGAAGAACTAGCGGTATCAGTACTGGAGAATATTTGTACTGGTATTGGTTGGACAAAAAAGTGGTATTGAACATGACTCGTCCCAGCTATGCTAATCACAGAAGGATAGTCAAAGTATTTGTATTATCTCCGATGTCGCTTCTTCTTTTTTGTCATGCACAATGTTTAGGAGTGGAGGGTGCATATCCTCAGAGTGAAGGCAGGGGTTAGATAGAGAGATCTATTAGTAGCGCGATGGCGACGATGGGTGGACGATGGGGCTACGTGGGCTAGTGTGAGGAAGACTGGTGATGCTGCGCTTTGTGGGAGAGGGATGCATGTGGTGTGGCGAGGTGGTACCTGCATCCATGTCGTTGGGCCACGCGCTGGATTGGGATGAGCTGGCAGCGGGCGAGCGTCCAGGATAGAAAACATCATCTGTTGGGCTCTCCATCTCACTGTCGTCTAACGACTTCCTCTTGGTGGAGCTGGTGGGGGATATGTGGGGAAGATGTTTGGAAGGAGAGAAAAAATATGATCCTGATGTGAATGCTCTGATCCAGGTCCTAAACATTTTGAATCACAACCACTGAAGCACAAAGTATGGAAAAAATGACGCAGGACTAAAGGAGCAGTTAGAAAGTGGTGGCATACACTGTTAGATTAGCGGTAGCTTCGGATGAGCGTGTGTGTGTGTGTGTGTGTGTGTGTGTGTGTGTGTGTGTGTGTGTGCGCGTGTGTACAATATGCCAATAGTTGTGTATCTTTGTCTGTGTCTTTTTAACTACCTCCGCGGAAGGTTTGCGTACAGTTCCACCTCAGACCTAAAGTGACGGCAGATGACAAGAGGCGGGAAGAAGGGAAAGACAAGTTAAAGAAAGACAACAAGGAAAAGCAGGGGGAATAATTGCATGATTAAAATGCCACTTTTACACTGCACAGTATCAACTCGGAAACGAAAAAAAAAAATAAAAACTTGGAGCATCAGTCAGAACAATATACATAAAACAATAACAATGGAAGAAAAGTAGCCTCTCTTGTATTTACTGTCAGTAAGGCGAACATTTTTATCCAAGAGAAGGCTGAAGGCAGCAAGAAACGGTAAAAAAGTGGAGCTGAGGCACAGCAACAGAGGAAAGAAACGTTGTGAAATGTTTGTTTATTTTTGTCATTTTGAGCCATGTAGCCTCAAAAGTTACAGTGAGGTGGCCATGAAGAACCTACATGAAAAATTTTGGCGGTTCTCAAACTGTGGTCTGTGAGCCATAGCTCGGGGGTTCGCAAAATCATCTGCTATGAATAATTATTGTATCATTTAAAAAAAAAAAGTGCATACCTACATATAGGACTGGCATCTCGACAATACAAATAAAACTCTGGGCCGATGCTGACGTATCAAATCTTACATCCCCACATGAACTATGTTTTTTTCGAATATATTCCTATTTTCTAGGGGTATAGGTGTCTTTTTTTTTTTTTTTTTTAAAAAGGGTGCGATATTATGAAAGTAAATTTGTATTTTTAAAATTCACTTCTTTCCCTTGTTTTACAACATTGACTAAGGATATACAATGACTTAATCTTGGAAAAATAGAACTAAATTCTCTTGCTGACTTTTGTCCTCATAAAGATCACTACTTTTTTTTCCCTTGAAAATTAAATTAAAAAAAAATCCTTTTGTTTTCCAAGATTCTAATTTCTTTGCCCTTGAAACTATGCAACCTTTCAGCTAAATTTAAACTGAAACTGAAAAGAAGAATCTGTTGGGTTTACATTTGGGAAAAAAAGGATGTACATTGACTGCACCAATGAAAATCATGTTTCACCAACATAAATATCGTACGAAATAAAATATATTCATGTTGGTGAAACATGATTTTAATGTGTACAACAAACAGCCATATTTTATTTTGAAATTTTAAATGGCCTTTTTTTTTTTGTCAGTGCATGGTAGTACCATATTTTGAATTGGCAAGATTATCATGTGGTCCCGGAAAAAATGTGTCACCAGAATGTTTGAAAACCCCTTGGAGTAGGTCGTGTGCAGTGGAAAAGGAGCAAAAGAGGTGAACATCTAACAGAAAGAGAAGCACATCCATAAGGACAAAGTGTGAAGAAGAGGACTAAATGCTTGATTGTCCATTGCATGCCAAGTCAGTGACGCGACATTATATGGTGGTGCCTTGAGCTACAAGCCATCCAACGTCCTTTTTTTGTTTTTTTTGGTTTGTCAAAAAAAAAAAAAAAAAAAAAAAG